CTCACTCTGAACCACTTATTGTGGAACCACAATGAACCAGCATCTGGTTGTGGTACCCACTCGTGAACCACATCTAGTTGGACCACTCATGAACCACATCTTGTTGGGTACCCACTCAAATGAACCAGCATCTTTTATGGTGGACCACATCATGAACCAGCAACTTGTTTGGGTGGACCACTCGTGGAACGCACACATGTTGTTGGACCTCTCATAACCACATCTTGTCTGGTGACCACTCGTGAACCATCATCTTGTTGGTGGACCACTCATGACCAGCATCTTTGTTGGTGGACCACCTCATGAAACCAGCATCTTGTTGGGTGGACCACTCAAGAACCAGCAATCTGTTGGTGGACCACACATAACCAAGCATCTTGTGGTGGACCACTCATGAACCGCATCTGATGGGTGGAACCACTACATGAACCACATCTTGATGGTAGCCACTCATAACCACATATTGTTTGATGGACCCCAAGAACCACATCTTGTTGAGACCACTCTTGAACCACCATCTTGTTGTGGACCACTCATGAACCAGCATCTTGTGGTAGACCACTCATGTACTCCATTTGTTGGGTGGACCACTCAAGATCCAGCCTCTTGTTGGAGGGAACCACGCATAACACCAGCATCTTGTTGGGGACCACCATGATCCACATCTTTCTGGGTGGACCACTCATATTCTCAGCATCCTTGTTGGTGACCACTCATGAACCAGCATCTTGTTGGGTGGACACTCAGAACCATCATCTTTGGGGGAACCACTCATGAACCACACACTCCTGTGGTGGACCACTCAGAACCGCACTTTTGTAACCACTATCGTTGACCACATCTTGTTGTGTGGACCACTCATGAACCAGCCATCTTGTGTACACCACTCATAACCACCTTCTTGTTGTGGACTCCACTCAGAACCTAGCAGCTTTTTGGGTGTACCACTCATGAACACATCTTGTTGGTAACCACTAATAACCACAGCTTGTTGGGTGGAACCACTCATGAACCAGCATCTTTTGGTGAACCACTGCGATGAAACCACATCTCGTTGTGACCACTCGGGAACCAGCATCCTACAAATTGGTTTGTGACCACTCATGAACCACATCTATTGTTGGGTGGACACCACCATGAACCACGATCTTGTTGGTGGCACCACTCCTGAACCAGCATCTTTTGTGGACCACTCATTATCGCAGCATCTTGTTGGTGGACCACTCATAAGAACCATCATGCTTGTTGGTGTACCCGCATGAACCAGCATCTTGTTGGTGAACCGACCATGAAACAGCATCCTTGTTGGGTGGATCACTCATGATCCTAGCATCTTGTTGGATGTACACTCATGAACCACATCTTGTTGAGTGACCTACTATCATTACCAGCATCCTTGTTGCGTGACCACTCATACCAGCATCGGGGTACCACTCATGAACCACAGCTTGTTGGTGTACCACTCATGAACCACAGCTTTTGGGTAACCAAATCTGAACCAGCATCTGTTGTGAGTGACCACTCGTGAACCCAGCATCTTGTGGTGGACCAAATCGTGATACCAGCATCTTGTTTTGGGTGGACCACTCATAACTCACATCTTTTTTTCCCCCCTGGTACCCCTGGACCTGGACAGCTGACAAAAACCCTGGGGTAGGTACTGGAAAATTAGGCTTTTTAAAACTCTGGGGGTTATTAGGCTGGAAAAATGGTGATTTAAACTTCTAAAAATTTCTTTTCCCAAATTGTGGTGGGAAAAAATTTACCTTTATATATGGGGGGGTGGGAACACACCAAATTTTGGGTTTTTTAAAAACGTCACCACTCTAAAGCATTATTAAAATCAAAAGGGATCATTCTCCTCAAGATATGCCTTAAGGTCAGGAGGAACATTTACAAAAGAACCTCTAACAAAATTAAGGTAATTACACCTTCATAATTGCCTACCACCCCTTTGAGCGAAAACCACCTATTTAAAAGTGACATCCTTCTCCTTACCAATATTCACCAAGACTGCCCTGACGGGAAACTTTTAGTCTCTAAAAACTTCTGCCGGACCTTTCCGGCAACATTTGATAAGCCAGTAAAACTACCTCTTTCAGCTTATGATAATCAAAAAGGGCCCGATCCCTCTAAAGAACTAACAGCCTGTAATCCTTTACCAACTAATTGGGTTCTGCAAATGTCGCCCATGGGTCCATTCCTTTCCCGGGCAAATTTTGGGATTTTGGCCGTACTTTCAAATAACAGAAAAAACTGGTCTGGATCTTTCTCTAGAAATTTAGGCACAAATGTTGGCTTTATCCAAATGAAAAAATCACCCTCGTGTCTGTGGCTGGGTGAAAAGCAAGATGCCTCTCTTTTAGCTCTTTCTTGAGCCCTAAGCTCCTCTAAGGCTCTCTGTTCTTGGATCTTTGTAAGTTTTCAATCCTTAACCGTTCCTTTTCTTCCGCAACTAGGGCTAATTTCATTCGTAAAATTTCTACTTCCTTATCCAGGTCCCTATCATGGGAATTTGATTCAATGTCACGTTCCAAATACATGTCATCCCCAGAATTTTCACTAGTGTCAGCCATTTTGGGAAACAATAGCACCAAATCTTGCTATTAGCCACAGAACTTACTGATATAAATTAATAAAGCACATGGCAAAGTACATACACTGAAGTAGTATATTCACAAGGAGTGATTGTCATGTGACTCCCTAAAATTAAAGAGGATTACACGCAAGAAAATCCTGGCAGAAAAAATCGAGCTACTGCACCTGCAAAGGTAAATTCCCAGAAATTTAGGTGAACATAACCCCCTAAAAATCAGCAAGATTGTACCTGCAAGAGTAAATTATGCACAACCTATCAGGTATTAATAACACCCCAAAAATCAACAATATGGCACAGAAAGGTAAATTATTCACAGAGTATTAATTAATAATAACACCCTAAAAACCAGCAATATTGCACACCAAGGTAAATTCTTCACAGGGTATTAATCAATAATAACACCCTAAAAACCAGCAATATTGCAAACAAAGGTAAGTTATGCACAGGGTATTAATCAATAATAACACCCTAAAAAACAGCAATATTGCAAACAAAGGTAAATTATTATTTTTGTGTGAGTGTTATAGTGAATGCTTCCTCTGACCAACCCAGTAAAGAATGGTTATTGAATTACCACATAAAATTTGATAATTCTCCCACATACAGGCCCCCATGTTACGCAGAAATGCGGGATAGCTGGGGCTTGACTTTGTCTAAGGGCCCAAAAGGTAAAAATTACACACATCTCAAGCATAAACAGGCCACTCGGGCTATCCCAGTTCAAAACAGAAACGCTAAACCATAATGTTT